GATTCTAGTGGCCGGCATATCCACCAATACATAAATTCCACAGGGGCAGAAATCTTTGTCTGGCTCCTGTACCCCAGTACCTGGCACACAGTAAGTGTTCAATAGATGTTTGTTGAATGAATAGATGAATGAATGAATGAACGAATGCAGCTTTCCGATTCCCCAGAGGCAAGGGTTCTGGGCCCAGTGCTTGTGTCGTGGGCAATGCCTGTTCTCACAGGAACAATTCTACTGAGTGATTTGTACCGTGTTCCTGTTTCCAGCCTCCTGGAGATCCCATGAGTATGCAATATCCTTTATTAAATCCCTTTCTGCACACACCAGCTGAAGTTGGCTTCTGTTATAGCCACTAGAGACATATCAAGTCCCCTCATGATTAAGGGAGAGAAAGCATGTGAGCCACCTGGGACACAGCAAATCCTCCCAAGCACTTCCATCCTCCACCTACATGGGGGCTGCTATGGACCAGATGTTTGTGTAGAGTGTGGTGCTGGTAACGGCAAGGTCCCGGGTTTGATCCCTGTGCCCTTCCCCAAAGAAACTCTAATCTATTTGGATGTGTGGCCTTTGGGAGATGATCAGGCCATGAGAGTGGAGCCCTCATGATAGGATTAGTACCCTTATAAGAAGAGACACGAGACAGCTCGCTCCCTTACTCTCTTCTCTCCGTCATGTGAGAACACGATAAAAAGATCGCCATCTACAACCAGGAAGTGGGCCTTCACCGGACCCTGGATCTGCAGGCACCTTTACCTTGGACTTCCCAGCCTCCAGGACTGTGAGAAACAGATGTTTGTTGTTTAAGCCACCCGTCCTATGGTAATTTGTTACAGCAGCCTGTGAAAGTTGGTTATACAAATTGGGCCATTATGTCACACCCAGACTAAATCAAAATTGAGGGGCCGGGGTAAAAAGCACTCAGGGCACATAGTACCTGCTCCAAGAATCTTCTACAAGCCCAGCTGCTGAAATGACCTGCCGTGATGCTAAGACACGTTTACCTGCCGCCGTCACTCACCAGTCAGAGCCAGACAACTCCCAAAACTTCACTAGTGCCAGTGAGCTTTCTTTCAATACAATATGTGGCATTTTTCTCTCTAATAAAACTCCCAGCCCTTTCTTTGTTCTTTGACGATTCTGGAGACCACTGTGGTCTGTGTGTGTGCCCCAGATTGCAATCCTGTTTCCCTGAATACAACGTTTTCTCTAGAGATTTGTCTCTCTATATTTTATTTGACTTTGACAAGACTGAACTCATTAAAATAGGGACTGAATTTGAGGCCACTGCTGCCCTCAAATATTCAGAAAGCCTGAAGACCTTCTATCATTAAGTGTCCTGGCTGCTGGGGAGACCCCAACCTTCCCCTAGTTCGCAGGAGCCTCTGCGCTCCCTTTTCCATTGAGCTTCCTGCTCCCTGAACTCTCCCTGCAGGAGCCAAGTCAGTTCCCACCTGCCTTACCTGCTCCTCGCTCTCCACTCCCAGCCTCCCTGGGAGTCCCCGTGGAAGCAGCCAGGGCTGAGAAAGAGCCAGGTGTCTGGGGGCCAGGGACATGGACTGTAACCCAGCTGGAGCCTGGGCTCCCTCGTTTGTAGCTGCATGGTATTGGGTGGGGACTTGCCCTCTCCGGGCCTCGACTTGCCTCTCCGTAAAATGGGCATCATCTCGGGGCCTACCTGTCACGCTTCTTGCGGAATGGGATGGGATCGATGCCTATTGAGGTGTGGCTGGCAAAGCACTTAGTTTGGAGGTGCCTGGCATGTAGTAAATGCTCCATAGATGGGAGATGCTGTTCCAAATATTGAGTGCCCGATGTGTGCTTAGCACCGCTCCAGGCACTAGAGAGTTAATGGTGAACACAATAGTAATAAATATATATTGCGACATTACTAGAGACAGCAGGTGGGGAATCCCTGCTTGTCTTCTCAGCCCTGGCTTCCCCAGCTTCCTGCTTCCCATCTGCCTTGTCCTAATTGATACCAACCCCTAGGGCAAAGGGCAGACCCTTGACTCAGAGCAAGCAAAATAGGCCAGGCTTTCCGTCTGCCTCTCTTTTTCTTAGCATCTTTCTTTCTTTCTGTCTCTGAATTTTGGTAGAAGAGATTCAGAACATGCAAACAAGTGTGGTTTGAATCCTCACGGCAGTCGGCGGTCGAGAGGACAGTGGAGCCCAGGAGCGGAGCCCAGGAGCGGAGCCCAGGGCAGAGATGGCGGCCCCTGGAGGGAAGGGAGCACCTTGCCTCCCTCATAACACTTCCATTTCCCACCAGGCCCTGCTGCGCTCCCCACCCATCCATTCATTCTTCAGTGTGTCCTGCCCTGTTCTAGGCTCCTAGGAGACAGCCGAGAACCAGACAGAAACGTCCTGGAGCTGATGTGCCAGGGGTTACCCCTGCGGTTCCACAAGGCAACCCACACTTTGAGCCAGTTGGAGAGAGCTTTTGTCCTTACAGCCTGAGCCTTGGCTCCAACATACCCCACGGCGTTGGCCTTCCAGAATGCCTCTCCTTGCCCTCCTGCCGTGTTGGCCTCCTGCCAGCTCAGCTCATGGGTCCTAAGACTTCCTGCCACAGGCCCTTTGCACAGGCTGAGCCCTCTGCTCGAACCCCTCTCCCAGCTCTTTCCCTCTCTACTTAGAACTTTTTTTTTTTCGTGTCCGGCAACGGATCGCAACCCTCAGTGTCACGCCTGTACCGGACCGTGACCAGCAACGGGATCACAACCCTCGGTGTTGCTCCCATACCTCGCTCAGCCAGTGAGCGGGAACCGGTCTGTATGTGGGATCCGAACCCTCGGCGGGAGCGCCGCCGCACTCCCAAGCGGCGCACTGTAGCAGTGCACCACCGGGCTGGCCCTCTACTTAGAACTTTTAGTCATCATCCAACCTTGTCAAAGGATCACCTTCCCAGTACAACCTCCCTGATACCCCAAATGGTTCCCCTATTTACAGTCTCATAATCTCTGTATTTTCCTTCACAGTTATCTGTCACAGTTCATAATGATTTATTTTTCTGGTGTGTGGTTATTTAGATAATATCTATCTTCCCTATTGGACTTTGAGTCCCTGGAAAGCAGGGCTAGGGCTATCTTGATCACTACTGTGTTCCCAGCACTGGCCAGTACAGGCCAGATACAAAGGAGGCACTTGGGGAGCGTTTGCTGAAGGAAGGAGTGAATGAGCAATTTAGCATCTGTGGGAGGCAGCCACATGTCTTTAGCTCAGGTGGCCCTACATTTGAATTCTGACTCTGCCACTGATTAGTTGTCTGATACTCTAGAAGTATCTCAAACCACCTGAGTCTCAGTTCCCTCCTGGATAAAAGGGAGATTTAACCCATAGTACAACACACGGATAGGTTACAGCATGAATCAGATCACATCCTCTAGTGGCTCCTCATCAAATTTTCCCCACGGCCTACAAGCCCCTGCGTGCCTTTCAGACCTTGCCTCCTACCCCCTCCTTGCCCACTACCTACAGCCACGGAGTCCTTCCGTCTATGCTTTGACCACAAGAAGCTAGTCTAGCCTCAGGGCCTTTGCACTCGCTGGTCCCTCTGCCAGGAACTCTGTCCCCCCAGAAATCCACATGATTCCCTCCTGTTTTAGTCCATCTGGGCTGCTATAACAAAACACCATAAACTGGGCATCTTATAAACAACAGAAATGTATTTCTCACAGTTCTGGAGGCTGGGAAGTCTAAGCTCAGGGTGCCAGCACGGTTGGGTCCTGGGGAGGGCCCTGTCATTGCCGACTTCTTGCCGTGTCCTCGCATGGCAAAAGGATCCAGCGAGCTCCTGCAGGCCTCTTTTATAAGGGCACTAATCCCATTTCACACGTGCTCCACCCTCATGATCTAATAACTTCCCAAAGGTTCACCTGTTTTTTGTTTTTTTTTTTAAAGACTAGTCAAGTGCAGCTGTGAGATGGGGGGAGAGCATAGAACAAGGGGTTCGATCTGTAACTGACTCTGAACAGTCAATTGAGAGAACTCACTACCTTCGGACCAGCCAGGCCCACCTTTTAATGCCATCACCTTGTTGGGGGGGTGCAGTTAGGATTTCAACATACAAATTTGGGGGGACACACGCATTCAAATCATAGCACCTCTCTCCCTCAGTAACCTCCTTCTGATCTCTCCTTAAATGCCACCTCTTCAGTGAGGCCTCCCTGGTGACTGCCCTTCCAATGTCACATCATCCTATTTAATTTTCTCTACCAGGCACGTTATAACCACTCTGTGCCTCAGTTTCCCCATTTGTAAAATGGAAACAATAATGGTACCTGCCTCATGGAGTTGTTTTAAGGTAAAGATGAGTTAAAGAGGGCAGTGTTTCTCAACTGGGGCAATTTTGCCCCGGGAGACATTTGACGATATCTGTAGATATTTCTGGTTGTCACAGGTAGGAAGTTGCTACTGGCTTCTAGTGAGTAGAGGTCGGGGATGCTGCTAAACACCTCTACAATGCCCAAGCCCTCTACTACAAATTGGCCAGTCCAGAATGTCAGTGCTGCCGAGGCTGAGAAACGATGCTTTAGGGAAAATGTTTAGAACAGTACCTGGCCCGTACAAGTGCCTGAGAAATCTTAGCTGCTGCTATCATCAACCACCCTCTCCCTAGCACTTTGCCCAGAGAGGATTCATCAATAAATACCCAACTTATGAATAAGAAGATTGAGTGATAGAGTGTATTCCTTATGACCAGGCACGGTTAATGCTCAATAAATATTTGATTAATTAATGCATGTGAAGAGTAAACGAGATGGTGCATTCTCTAGTGTCTGGCATGAGGCAGGCATTCAATAGATATTTTATTCGCTAATGCATGTGAAGGTTAAACAGTATCTCCAGGGCCTGGCATACAGTAGGTGCTTAATCAATACGTGTTGAATGGAAGAATAAAAGGATCGAATGAAATGGTGTTTGTGCAGGGCCTGGTACATAGTAGCTGTTCAGGGCCCATTAGTGTCCCACGTCCTCCTCCCCCAGCCCCTAACACTCACCGGCTACCCGGACCTCAGTCTTGGCCCTCATGGTCCAGGCAGGGTTGATGGTGATGGCTACCTGGTAGGTGCCACTGTCTGTGGGCTGGGCACGACGCAGCAGCATGGAACCATTGTGGAAGCCCACGATGTCTCGCTGTTTCATAGCACTGCCATCCCTCTGGGGCCGCTGTAGCTGGGGGATGTAGGTGAATAGCCTGGTGCCTCCAGAGGTCTCATCCCCCAGGTACCAGTTGATGTCCTGAAAGGTGTCTGGGACACCCTGGACGGACAGGAGAAGGTCCTGGTTCTTTTGAGGCTGTTCTGGTATCTTCTGGATGTGCAGGGCTGCTCGGGAGCTTTGGGGCATCCACAGGGCCAGGATTGAAGCTGTGGGAGGTAATGGAGGAGGCCTGAGCTGGGGGGTGTTGGGCAGAGACCCAGGCATTTCCTATAGGCCCTTATGTGGGAAGAAAGACTCTGAGTGCTGTTCATTGGAAACAGGCTGGGGTTGATCAGTGATGTCTGCCCTGGAGTGGGAACGCAGGCAGGAACCAGGCAAATCTACGGAGATTTTGCTATCCCATTGGCCCAGAAGGTTTTTTCTGCCCTTTGTTAGATGCTGTGTGATCTGCTTTAAACAATTGGACTATCTGAATTCTCTCATTAATTTATTCAACCAGTATTTATAGGCATTTATATTATATAAGCTACCATACCAATTATATATGATATGTCTAAAATTCCCCAGACTTCTAGGCACTAGGCATACAGCAGGGAACCAAACACAAATAAATTCCTGACCTCATGGTCCTGATATTCTAGAAAATTCCATAGATAAAATGGGGATGAGGTTCTGATTCTCCTGCCCCTCATCCACATCTTACTCTAATAGTTTCATCTTCCACAATACTTTTTCCCTCCTTCTACGAGGAAATCTCAGCCCCCGGGCTAAGTGCCACCCTCTCCCCTCAGCCCTTGAGGTATGTTTCCTCCTTACCTGAGAGCAGGAGGCCCTTTGAGAGGTGGCCCTGGGTCCCTGTGGGAATATCCATCTTGTTGTCCTGTGGAGATGCCAAGGGACCACCTGCTGGCCACCGAGGGCTCAGAGGGCGGGGCGGGCCCAGCCGTCTGAAATGGGCAAGCTCAGTGGGGCTCCCAGGGGTGCCTCTGAGGCTGGCCCAGCCCTAGCACCCCCTTTCCGCGGGCTCTGGAGGCTCTACCTATGCTCCCTGAGATGGAAGCACAGACACTGGTAGAACCAGTTTTCCAGGGTGACTGGGAAATGTCCTGGGGTTTCCAGGACTCCTCCCCTGACCCCCTTCAACCTCTTCTCACTCACTGTGACTGTCAGCAATGACAGCAATCATTAGCAGCAGCAGTCATAACAACCTGTGGTTGAGCAAACCCCTGGGCCCAACACACACTACCTCATCCAGCAGCCACCACACATAACTCTTCCCATTTCACAGATGAGTAAACTGAAGCTCCGGAAAAGAAGCAAGTCTATTGGTAGGCAGAGGTGGGAATCTCACCAGTAGCTGCCTAGGTCTTAGCCTAGTTTTTCAAAAGCATCGCTTCATTCACCCATTCATTCCAGCACAGGTTTCCTGCGCCCAGCCCAGTGCTGGGTGGAACTGTCGACACAGTGATGACTGAGACCACGCTTGCCCTGCCTTCAGTCCACAGTCCTGTGGCGAGGGGCAGACCCATTCCCAGACAGCGATGATCCAGAGTGATCTGACCTGGGATGGAGGAGCCCAGGGGGCAGGGAGAACCAAAGGGGACACCACTCAGTTTGAGGGGCGTGGAGGTCTTCCTGAAGGAGAGGACATCTGGGCAGAGACCTGGAGTAGGAGCAGGAATGAGGCAGGTGATGGGGTGGGGTGGGGTGAGGTGTACCAGGCAGAATACACAGCATATGCAAAGGTACAGAAGCTGTGACAGCCATCAAGCTGCACTGAGGGAATTGCAAAATCCTGGTGGAGAGGAGGGCTGAGTGGGAGGGCATGTGTGAAGGCTGGGGAGGTGGGAAGGGTCAATTGTGCCTGGTCTTAGCTATATTGGGACAGAATCTGGGTAATGGAGGGTCTGTCTAATATTGTGCTGTCTAATATTGCAGCCATTAGCCACACGTGGCTATCTAAATATACATTTAAATTAATTTAAATCAAATGTATTAAAAAATGTAGTTTCTCAAACTAGCCACTTTCAAGTGCTCACGAGCCGCATGTGATTGGTGGCTATCACACTGGACAGACAGCACAGGCATAGAACATACCTATCCTCATCCCAGAAAGTTCTACTGGAGAGCGCTGTTCTAGGGATCTGGGGTGGGGGTGGGGGGCAGGCATTTCCACCATAGTGAGGTTTCTGGTCCAGCAGGAAGAGAGAACACCGCTAAGATGTCATGTGGTGTGATCAGTAGCACTTTGTGTCTGTGTGTGTCCTGGAAACACATTTTCAGCTTGTCAGAGGTGATGGCATCTTCCAGAGTCCCCAGGTTGGGGCAAATCAGGAAATTTGACTATGAACCACCCTGAGAGGTGGTGTGGCCCAGGGAGACTGAACAGCTGCAGACTCCAAGGCAGCCCTGTTGTGAGCTGGTGAGTGTGGCTGTCAGCCCGGTTCTGCCAGGACTTGGCTGTGGGATCTTGGGGCAAATGACTTCACCTCTCTGAGCCTCAGCTTCCTCCTCTGGAGAATGAGGATAGGTATTGCCACCTCATGGGGTTGTTGGGAGGAGTGGCCAGGACTGTATGGAAGGGGCCTGGCAAGCAAGCAACAAATGATGTCTGTCCTTGTCGTTACTATTACTATTGACCTTGTGTTTGGACTTGCCCCACTTCCCACATCCCCCCCTTCCCCTTTCCCCTGACCGTGCTCAAGGGAAGTGCATTTCCCCTGGAGGGGATTCCAATCCCCCACCTCCCCAACATTCCCAGACGTGGTATACTCAGGGTCAGAATCCCCCCGAAAGTACCCTCAATCCTTGCTGCAGTTTTGCGATTTCCTCAGTCTGCCAGAGAGAGGTTATTGCAAACCCAGCAATTATTTCCAGGCAGTGCATAAAGCAAAGCCAGCTGTTCTGGATTTCCCAGTTGCTGGCTCACACTCTCTCTCTCTCTCTCTCAATTCCTTTTGCATTATTAAAAGAAGAGTCGACGCTTACTACAGAAAATTTAGACAGTTTTCA